TGTACACCACCACACCCAGCTAGCACCCTGTTCTTAAAGGCAACTGAGGTGAGCATGGTGGTGCGTGCCTATAATCATAGCACTTGGGAGGCTGACACAGGAGAATCTCTAGGAGTTCAAGGTTAGCCAGGGCCACAAGGCGAGTTCAAGGCCAATATGAACTATATAGTGAGACCCATACTTACAAAACAAATTATTAAACTTTATAAGTACAGTTAAATCAGCTGTCATGAAAAACCTGCCCATAAACTTTAGTATTGTTAAACTTTACAATTAAATCAGCTGTCATGAAGAACCTGCCAATAAAGTTTAGTTGCGTGTTTTTTGTGAAAAAATTTACTGTCATTTTAGTTTAGTTTTTCTTTTTTTCCAACACTGCACAGAGATTAGGAACAACCGAGGGCCCGGGAGTGATGGCACAAAGGCTATGATCCCAGCACTGCACGTAATCCAACACGTGGGAGGCTGAGGCGGGAAGATCGAAGCTTGAGACCAGCCTGGGCTACATAAGCAAGGTCAAAACCAGCCTACACTACACAGTGAGACCCTGTCTCAAAAACAAAGGATGGAGAAAGCTATGGGCATGGTGGTGCATACTAGTAATCCCAGGACTCGGGGAGGCTGAGGCAGGAGGGCTACAAATTCAAGCTCAGCTTAGTTAACTTAGCAAAAGCATTTCTAAACGAACAAAGGAAGGAAGGAGGTGGGAAAGTACCTCAGTGCCCTGGGTTTAAACCTCTGTACTCAAAACAAAACAACAAAAAAACTGAGACCCTGTTGGTATAGGCAGGACAGCTGTGCCCGAGTTACGCTGAGCACACGACCTAAAATGAAGCCTGTAAATCCACACTCTAGAACCACACCTGAAGTTTCCATCTGCCCTAAATCCAAACAGCTAAAACTACAAAGTCCACTGCCAATCCATCTGTAACTATTTTCCCAATTTGGTAATACATTTTTACAACCTAAACTGACTGGTATCATCAGTTAGCCAGAGCGGGAATGTAAGGACAAAGCAGGGGCAGCTATTTTTCAACCCTCCGCTCTGCAAGGCGAGTGGAAGTAGGTGAAGGGCGGGACACCCAGGAGCCGCACACGCCTTCGCGAGGGCCGCCGCCCGCTGGGGCACTCACTCCGTCACAGCCTTGGTGTGCGCTGCGGCGGCTTCCCACGGATAAAATGCTACTCCCCTGCTTCAACGGTGATTTTTTATTGAAAGAAAAACTATTCGAAACACATGGTAAGAAATTAGACTTTTATCAATACACAAGTACGTTTCCTTAAAATCAGCTCAGTCACATATTTTAGAAAGTTCCTAGCCTCTTGTGAGCAGTGTCCCGTCCAGGACAGGCGCCGATCGGCCTGCGGTCCCAGGAGGACACCCGCGTGCGACGGTCCGGGAGCGCACTGGCGCTTTCCTGGCACGCTGGGAGATGGTCACACTCGAAACCACCCTTGCCTGGACAGGGTGGGGGGTTCCACGTAAAGGTTTCACCAAATGTCTCTGAATGTCTCTGAAGGAAATACTAGTAACGTCAGAAGAGTTCTAGCACTTCAATTGAATACAATCCTCTATTGTTCTTTTCTTGATTTAATTTCTGTAGCTCCCGAAAACTTACTTCAATCTTGTTGAGCTCAGAATAAACACTTATCTGGAGAAAAAAAAGTTTCAGAGTAAGTTTTACCCTAACTTCTATATATAAACAAGTTTTCCATGATTACTTATGACTTTTCAATGAAGGATTTTCTTGGGGGTGCTGGGGATTGAACCTCGTCCTTCAGCACGTTAATACTCGAACCCCTGAGCGTACCCACGGTCCCTCCATGCACAGATTCAAAGCACACATTGTAACTCAGAGGCGCAGGCAGAACCAGGACGTACTAAGCCATCACAAACCTGGGACTTCACGAACTTGTAAAGATTTATCAGTAGCCTTTTTGCTTCCGGTATCATTAAGACAACAGTAAAATTAGCATCTAGAAGTAGGCATATCCAATCCATAATCTGAAAGAAACAGAAAAAGGAAATTAAGGCTAAGTTTAAACCGGGTGTGGTGGCGCACGCCTGTAATCCCAGTACACGGGAGGCTGAGGCAGGAGGATTGACGAGTTTGAGGCCAGCCTGGGCTACATAGTGAGTTCAAGGTCAGCCTGGACTGCACAGCTAGCCCGTGTCTCTCTCACACACACACATACACACACACACAAAGACTGTAAGGTTAATTTTAGATTCATTTATACTACAAAGCCCAAAACTCTAATAAACTGTTATAAGAAAAATAAGTATTCGTAACAGTATGAATAATTTAGAGGTGAATTTCTGAAAATTTTTTGCTTTTATAACTGCTGTAAGCAAAGGCGTATCTTCTTCATTGGCTTAATCTACAATAGGAAAGTGGAATGACATGTATCACGCTCCCGCCAGCGTAAGCCAGCACCGGGGGCACATGCAGGGCTGGCCCACGGGGCAGCCTAACCACTGCCACACTGTATAAGTGGATCTAATCACTTTTACTGGTCTTTTTACTAATAAAATTAATAAAAGCCACCCCACGGGATAGTCATGCGTGTACCACAGGTGGTACAAGCCACCCGGCAGGGTGACATGAATTTTAGCCCCACTGTGAATGTTAATCCAAGACAATATTGGTCTTTTTATTTTAAACCATTTTCAAAATAATTATCTGTAGCTATAAAAAGAACCCACTCATCTACTTTGTTTTTTTATTTTTATTTTTCTGCCTTTTTGAGACAGGGTCTCGCTATACAGTTTTGGCTGACCTTGAGCTCACTTTGTAGCCCAGGGTGGCCTCAAACTCACAATGATCCTCCTGCCTCAGCCTCCTGAGTGCTGGGATTACAGGCATGCGCCACCACGCCCGGTTCCACTCATCTACTTTGCAAGATGCATTGCACCCCAACGACAAGGGGTTCCGTTATCATACATGAGCTACCAGAAAGTAAAGTACAGGAGACATTTGTGGACGTAGCCCCGCCCCTCGTGGTGGGGGACCCCAGTAACCCCGCTCTGCGGAAGGCAGGCGGGTTTCGAGCCCAGTGTGGGCAGCCTACCAAGACCTTGTGTCAGAACAGAAAATAGTCAGACACGGAAAATGAAACCGTGAACACACGAGAGGAGGACAGGAGGCCCGTTTTTTATCATTTTAGAGTGGGAAGAGCGTTAAGCATGACTGGTGTAAGCCATGAAGGCAAAGCTTAGTACGTTTCAATAGCATAAAAATTTGTCCACGCCAGAAACTCAAAAGCTATACTGAAGAGAATAAAAAGATAATTAGGGAAAAGAATGCTAATATTATTTGATAAAGACTAACCTCCTTAATATACAAAAAATAGTTTAAATGCCAAAAAAAGACAGGAAATACAATAGAAAAATCAACAAATAACTTGATTCAGTAGCTCTCAGAAAACACTAAAATATGGTAACATGTGTTCCCTATCTGGCAAAGAGTAAAAAGCTCTCCAGTTTCGGTGACAGGAAGAATGAGGAAAGTAACGGCCTCAATTCTGGGTCCGGGCAGTGCGTGTGTCACAGCTCCTCGAAGGGTGGCCTGCGTTCTGGAAACTAAAAGCGCAGCCCCTCCCACCCAGGAGCTTCCACTGTGGGAATCCACCCAACAGCTGTTCCCTCCTAAGTACGAAGGTACGCTGCCGGTCGGGGTGGACCATTGGAGAGATCGAGGCAGGAGCACTGCAAACGTAACTCCAGCCTGGGGTGCACAGTGAGACCCTGTCTCAAAAGAAAACAAAACGACCTAAAGGTATCTGTACGAAGATACTCACTGAAGACTTGTTTATGTAGCCCAGGCTGGCCCTCAACTTGTAGCAATCCCCCTGCCTCAGCCTCCTATGTACTAGAATTCCTGTAAAGCTTCTGGCATTACAGGAGTGTGCCACCACACCCGGCTAAGAGGGACAGCCTATTACCGGTATAAACCCACTTTGTCCTCTCCCAACAAGGCCAAGGAAATTCTTGGAAAGGGTCATAATGAATAATCAGGAATTTAAACTATAATGTAGAACTAGGGATCGAGAAAATTATGTACTAAATTGAGAGCCCTCCATCTAAACCGCCAATGGTCTGTGTATATAATGAGCGAGGAGGTTCACATGGTCTCCTCGTGGAAGGGACCAGGAGACATCAGCTACTAATTCCAGGTGCTGACACTGCACACACGCTTTCATACAGAGTGAGAAAGGATCTGACCTGGCTCAGAGTTGGAGGGTGCATTCCAGGAAGAGTCATAGTAGCATTCTCACTACACTTCAGATAGAGGAAGTACAGATACTGCAGAAATAGCTACAAGGGGGGAAAAAAGTCAATTTATTATTTAATTTAATTTTACTTTACTTTAATTTTTTTGTTGTTTTGAGACAGGGTCTCGCCATGCAGTTCAGACTGGCCTTGAGCTCACTTTGTAGCCCAGGCTGGCCTTGAACTCACAACAATCCTCCTGCCTCAGCCTCCCGAGTGCTGGGATTACAGGCGTGCGTCACCACGCCCGGCTCAGTTTATTATTTTAATAGAATACTCTTCCCTGCATATACACTGAATAAAGGTATTGCAACGAGGACTGGGGATTTAGCTCAGTGGCGCAGCGCCTGCCGGGCAAGCACAGGGTCGTGAGTTTGATCCCCATTAAAGAAGTTACCGGAAGGGAATCTCAGAGTTTGCTCAATTTAACCGTACATCATTAAGGCACTCATCGGGGGCACAGAAATGAACAGTGTCCTCCGACACCGAGGGGCTCATCTGGCCTCATGGGCCGTTTACTCTGTCTGTAAATAGCAGGGAGAGAATTCCTCTCTCAGCAACTGTTTTTAGTGGCTACGCACTCACAGTTCAGGGGGCTTAACCTGGACTGCTGAAGCCTGGGAAAAGGGACACACCAAGTGCGGCCACCCCACCAGGAGCGCCTACCGTGACATGCTGCGCGGGGATGTCCTTCAGGTGAGGCAGGAGGAACGTCTCGCTGTATGCTGAACCGAGAATGCCATTTCTACTTGGGACTGAAGGAAAAATCTTACTGCACTGAATAGAAGTTAAGCTGTGCTCTGCTGTGCATGCTGGTACTCCCAGCTACTGGGGAGGCTGAAGCAGGAGGACCACCAAGTTTGAGGCCAGCCAGTCAGGATAACTCAGTGAGAGGTTACTCAAGGGCTGCGACGATTGCTCAGTGGTACAGTGTCCCTGGGCTTGACCCATAATACCAGGGGTGTAAAATAAATAAAATTATATATGCAGATGTTGTTCCGTTGAGAACGTGAGTCATTTTCTCCCTAAATATATACAGAAGTACTACTTGTCTAGGTTACTGAACGCTCCTAACTCATTCACATTCACCTGGAAACCCTGAGTATTATAAATGCAGTCATTAGGTTTTGTTTAGAACACTACTTTTTTTTTGGAGACAGGATCTCGCTATACAGTGTAGGCTGACCTTGAACTCATGGTGATCCTCCTGCCTCAGCCTCCTGAGTGCTAGGACTGTAGTACTCCAATATGCCTCGCTAGAATACTACCTTTTATTATTTATTTATTTACTTAGTCTTTTTGAGACAGGGTCTCGCTATGCAGTTCAGGCTGGCCTTGAGCTCACTTTGTAGCCCAGGCTGGTCTCGAACTCACAACGATCCCCTGCCTCAGCCTCCCCAGTGCTGGGATTACAAGCGTGCGCCACCACGCCCGGCTAGAATACTACCTTTTAGACGTAAGAGCCTTGACTTTTGTATGGCTAAACTAAAAGTACGTGTGTGTGTGTGGGGGGGGTTGAGACAGGACCTCATTGCGTAGTCTCACTATGCCTCTCCCGCGCCTCCAACTTGAGGCGGTTCTCACGCCTCAACCTCTCCAGCCTGGGACTATAGGCATAGGTCAGCACGCCCAGCTTAAACTAAATGTAACTAAGAGAACAAATTTAAGCGAATAATTTGACTGTACAAGTGAATATAATCCATTTTCAAGCAGAAGCTCGAAAACATCCTTCAACTCTAATTACTCCTTAGCTCTGCTCGGCGTAGGACTGGGCCTCCCGAGCCACGGAAGGATACAGGAGAGCGGCTCTCTTGGGAGTCACCGGGCACGAGGCGGCCTCTGCTGCCGGCCCCTGAGGCTCCTCACGGAGCTCCTGCTCACAGGTGCCGCAGTTGCTGTCTCCGGGGCTGAAGCCATTGCGGAGAATCTCAGGCTGCTCCTCCGTGCTCTCGTCCTGCTCGGAGCTGCTGTGCTCGCACACCGACTCCATGCTGACGTGGGCTCCCTGAAGGCTGTCATCCCCAATGCTGCGAGGGTCGTTGAAAGCCACGGGTTAATTCTTATTCTCTGAGCTTGTGGAAAATTCCTTTTCCAAGCATTCAAAATTTTAGGCATCAATGTAAGAGATTTAAAACGAAGCGAAGGAAAAAGACCTCTGGCTTCTAACTTACCTCAGGAAAATTTTTAAGCAGGCACACGTAAGAGACTCAGGAACATCGGGGAAGTGCCGCAGGCAGAGCTGCAGCATCTGCACGTCTGCTTTTGCTAACGCAGTGTCCATCAGGCCAGGGCACAAGCTGAGAAAAAAACGCCAGAGCCACTTTTATGAGAATAAGAACGTCAGCGGTAAAAAGCGAGGTCACAGAGTCGGGCACGCGCCGGGCCCCTAGCCCTACCTGTGGGAGAGCGCGTGCGTCTGCAGCAGCTGCATCAGGCAGCTCCGGGGGTAAAAGGACGGCTCTGCTTCACCTCTTCCCAGGAGCGCCGCCACGACGTCCCCGAGCACCGCGTGAGAGTCAGGGGTCCACTTAGCCAAGAATTTACGTAGCTCCACCTCAATGTGCTTTTCCGAACCATTCTGAAAGGGCGGACTTGAACAGTTCAGTCCGCACACCAGTAAATGCCACTGCGAATGTACAATTTCCCAGCACACTTTCCCAAACCACTAACAGTACAAATGCACTCCTGTGAGACGAGCTGATGCTCCAACTTGATAAGGAAAAACGGCAAAGGGAAGGAACTTGAGGGTTCAGAAACCCTCATGTTTTTGGAGGTGGAGAGGAATGCCATGTACGGAACCCCGGTGTGCCCCGCCACTGAGCCAGGCCTGCAGATCCCCCTTTTTATTTCGAGACAGGACCCTCCTGAATTGCCCTGGCTGGCCTTGAATCTCTGACCTCAGCCTCCCGAACAGCTGGGACTGAATGTGTGCGCCACCACTCCTGGATAAAATCTTGTCCATTATCATCGAATGTTTATCTGCTATCTGTACTTCTCTAAGAAGTGTTTATTCTCAGACAAAGGACTATTATCTTTTTTTTGGTTTTGGTCCCCCCTCCCCTACCGGGAATTGAACTCATGACCTTCTGCTTGCCAGGCAGGCGCTGTGCCACTGAGCTAAATCCCCAGCCCAGGACTACTATCTACAATATGTAAAGAACTAAAAATATCAGAATCCTCAAATTTAAAGACCAATCCAAAACTGGGCATCTGAGATGAACAAACACTTCTTAGACAAAGAAGTAGAAATAGCAAATAAATAGATGAAGAAAAAAATGTTCAATATCACTGGTCATTCAAGAGATGCAAATTAAAACAGTGAGATTCCATCTCATCCCAGAAAAAATGGCTGTCATCAAAAAATTGACCGATAACAAATGCTGGAGGGGCTTTGGGGGAAAAAGGAGCCCTTCTCCACTGCTGGGGGAGTGTAGACTGGTGCAACCATTGTGGAAATCAGTGTGGAGACTCCTCAAAAAACTAAAACTAGAGGCTCCACTTGACCCAGCTACTCCCCTGCGTGGCATCTTTCCAAAAGAATGAAGAGTATCACACCACAGCGATATATGCACACGCATGTTTATATGCACGTTTATGCAGTTTGTAATAGCTCAATCTTGGAAACAACCTAAATGCCCATCAACCAATGAATGGATAAAGATGTGATTTTTTTTTATACAATTACAACCTCTATTTTTATTTTCTTAGAGACAAGGTCTCACTATGCACTTCAGGCAGGCCTCGAACTCAAGTGATCCTCCTGCCTCAGCCTCCCCAGTGCTGGGATTACAGGCGTGTGCCACCACATCAGGCTGTTTTTTTTATACAAAGGAGTACTACTCTGTCACAAGGATAAGCTCGAGACATTTCTAGCTAAATGGATACATTTCGAGGTCATACTCTTCAGTGAAATAAATGAAAGGGAACAAGGGAGGGGGGAGATGGAAAGAAAAGGACAAGAGAAAAGAGTGGAAGGAAAAAAATGGAAGAAAGCTTTTGTGAACACGGAGGGGAGGCGGGCTGAAGGTAGCACACGGGACGGGGAAAGTCAGATATATCACGTACAGGCATCGGTTTCCCATGGTGAATGTTACCTTTGCTCTTGTCTCTTTGAGACAGGGTCCACAATGCAGCTCAGGCTGGCCTTGAGCTCACTTTGTGCACAGCTAAAATATACCAGTAAAAACATAAACTAAACGTTGGGCATGCTGACGAACACCTACAATCCCAGCACTCAGGAGGCTGAGACAGGAGGATCACTTCAAGTTCAAGGCAAGCACGGGCTACATAGTGAGTTCCAGGCCAGCCTGAATTACAGAGGGAGACTATCTTAAAAAAAAAAAAAAAAAAGGTCAAATAAAAAATAGATACGATTTTCTTTAATCATGTGATTTGTTTTTAATTTCCAGTGTCTTTATTTACCTTTATAGTCGATAAAAGTTGTTCAGATGCTGGAACTTCTGGCTGTAAACTTACTTCACTCTTTTTTCTTCTTAGCTGGAATGAAGTAGACTGATTAAGATCTTAATAGAAAAGGCATGTCACACATTTGGAACAACATGAAACACTCTGAAAAGAGCAGCACATTCCTGCTGTGCCTCTGTCACAGGGAAAAGTGTTACTTCCACTTTGAAACTGAGCATCTTCACTGTTTTCGTCATTTGTCCCACCACGGCTTTCAGTTACTGAACTTACAATTCTTCTCAACTGCTCTGATTTCTGGGCTCCGGGTTCACATCCCTGAGCTACTTCCCAGTTTACAAAGTGGGGCATGGTTTGAGAGCCTGTAAAGAGACAAAAAATACAGTTTCTAGAATTTTTTGACTTACTGTTATGTATCCAACAACTAAAGAACACAATAAAAAATATATATATATATGAGAGGCATTTTTAGAATGTAGTTTTTGTTTTGTTTTCCGGTACCAGGAATCAAACTCACGACCTTGCGCTTGCCAGGCAGGCACTGTGCCGCTGAGCTAAATCCCCAGCCCCTAACAATCTTCTTTTTCTTTTTTTTTTTTTTTTTTGGTACTGGGAATCAAACTCAGGACCTTGTGCTTGCCAGGCAGGCGCATATGCCACTGAGCTACATCCCTGGCCCAAGAAAGGCATTTTAAAAATTCATATAATTCCACTAACAACTTAACTTCACCGGGTGTGATGGTGCACACCTATAACACCCAGTCAGAAAGCTGAGGCAGGAAGACTGCCATGATGAGTTTAAGGCCAGCTACACAGTGAATTCAAGGCCAGACTGAGTTACAGAGTGAGACTCTCAAAACAAAACAATTCTACTAAGAACCTCAAACCACAGTCAGTCAAGAACTATACACAAAGCTGTGCAACGTTAAGGCAAGACATGAGTCCGGCAGTAAAGAAGGGCGGTAGGGGTGTTTTCCTTGAGGACTCTCCCACTGCCCTAAGCTCAGAAGAGCGCTGGCACTCAGAACAGCGCGCTCCTCAGGGTGCAGTGGCGTCTGCAAGGTGACTGTCCCCAGCGTAGCCACCTGGATGAAAACATTTCAGTGAACAGCATCGAATTTCAAATTAAGCACAGGAACTGTAAAGCAGGCTGTGGGACTCTACGTCTGAGGCTGGGGGCTAAGCGAACGGCTCACGTTAGGAACAGAGAAGCGAGGCTCTACCTGGGTCCTGAGCACGCCTGAGCTTCCCAAGGGCACCAGCTAACGACGACGCACCGCACCTGCATGGAACCACCGTCAGGCATTTCCCATGGAGCAGGAACAGATGTTCTCCGTAACACCACAGCTGTGAAAATGTTATCGAACTGTAAGCAAATTTTTTGTCCTATAAAACGTGACTCAATAAACTTGTAATAATAACATTATATGAGCTGTCTTAGTAAAAGAATAAACAAAGCAAAGCAACTTTCCGAAAGAATATGGGGTGTGATCAAAAATACACTGAACACTGCTATCAAGTGCCATCCACTGGAAAGGCCAACACATTAACTGTTACAAGGTGTCGCGTACCTTACTCATCAAATCTGGCACCGTGCAACCTCTGGCTCTTCCCAAAGTCAAAGGACCATGGAAGACAAGTGGTTTTTTTGGACTGTTTTGAGACAGTCGCCATGTAGCGCAAGCTGGCCTTGAACTTGCTCATGAAGCCCAGGCTGGCCTCGAACTCACAGTGACCCTCTTGCCTCAGCCTCCCACATGCTGAGATTACAGGCTTGAGCCACTATACTGAGTCATAAACTTTCTTAATTGGGGTACGGTCAAGTTTGAGGTGTAATTTAAAACATATTGTTAGCTGGGCATGTAATCCCAGCACTCAAGAGGCTGAGGCAGGAAGATCTTTGCAGGGTCAACGTCAGCCTGGGCTACAAAGTGAACTGAAGGCCAGCCTGAACTGCAGAGTGAGACCCTGCTTCAAAAAAAAAAAAAGTTAATTTAGAAAAATCTGATTAGGGATGGGGATATAGCTCAGTAGCTCAAGTGCCTGACTAGCAAGTGTAAGGTCATGAGTTCGATTCCCGGAACCAAAAAAAAAAAAAAATCTGATTAACATATACATTTAAAATAAAGGAATTACTTGAAATTAATCCTGTTGCTATTACACAGCTATTAACATGGAAACTTCCAAGATTGTAACACAAAATGTAATGATGTATGAAAAAAGCACCATCAAACACTATTTATAAACCAGGGATGGCAGTGCACACCTATAATCTCTATACTCAGGCTGACGCAGGAGGATTGCCACAAGTTTGAGGCCAGCCTAAACTGCATATCGGGACTCTGTCTCAAACAAACAAACAAACCCCATTATTTTTATTTTTTTGAGACAGGGTCTTGCCATGTAGCGCAGGCTGGCCTGGAACTCAGTAATCCCCCTGCCTCAGCTTCCCATTGCTGGGATTACAGGCGTGTGCCACCACAGCCAGTCAAACCCCACTATTTATAATTTATGACTCCAATGATAAGATTATGAAAAACAAGACAGATACACAAACAATAAAAAGCTTAAAGGAAACTGGGCATGGTGGTGCACACCTGTAATCCCAGCACTCAGGAGGCTGAG